AGTTGTTTTCTGTAACAAATATATGGTTCTCTATTTCCACTCCTGCAGCATTTAGTACAAATGTTACAGAAGACAACTCAGCTGCTTTTGGGTGTACGGAGTGGAAATTTATTTATGCAAGTGGACCCAGAGGAGGCAGTCTCCAAATTCTGGGCCCCAATCAGTGGGGAACAATTGCTTATATAGGGTGAGGGGGCAGTCTATCACTCTGACCGTTACTTCTGGTGCCAAAGCAGGAAGCAGCATACAGAAGCAAGAAAGCGGAACTGCTGACAGGAGTTAATACAAAATTCTTTGTTCTTACTTCCCAGTTATTCAGTTACTTGCTCTCCCTGATCTTGTTGACTCAGTTGCGAGCCCCCTCCTGGGCAGGCTACTAGCCATTACATTCATCCTATTGATTCAGCAGCTAGCCCCCCTCCTGGGTAGGCCACTACACATAAGTACATAATAGTAGCATTTATCATAGCCTATGGCAATGATTTTCAACCTTCTTCATCTCATGGCACATGTAAAATAATTGCTAAAATTCCGTGGCACACCCAAAAATATTTTTTTGCTGATCTGACCAAAAAATAGGTATGATTTTGATTCATTCAGATGGAATGGCTATTGTTGTACTGTTGGTTGTTGTCATTTTTTAATTTTACAGTCTAACGGAAAAGAGATCAGTGTCCTTCACTAAATAGTATCACATGTTTTAAAAATTCTTGTGGCACCAGAATGCCATAGCACAACCATTGAAAATTGCTAGTCTATTAATTATACAGCTGTGGTATTTTCTTAACTGTCTCCCCAACTGGCCAATCAATTGTTTGGGGTCAGAAAACTTTCTTCCTCTTCTTTGTGTCCACAGTGTCTAAATGAACTTGAGATCCTCAAAAAAGTGTATTGGATTAGTTAATTATTATTAACATGAAGATTATGCTCACTAGTAGGAAATACCACTAAATCAATCTCAGAATTTAGATGCCATGTTTATAATAGGTATCTTATCTTCCCTAGATGTCATCATTTATTTCATGCATCTATACATTTCCATTAACAAAGTGTTGTCTATAAATTTTATCTTGTGAGTGATTGAGACTACAGGCTCCATTTCAGCAAGTAAACAAAAAATTTTTTGATAATATAATATTCTTTTCATGTCTTTTAAAAAATATAGATAAAGTAAGTAGCTAAAACATCAAAGGTTCTATTAACAATGTGATAAGGGCTCTGTGCAGTTTGAAAACTTGAGCCCTGAGTAGACACCAAGAGACCAAGGGATTGATGGTAAGAAGGCAGAGAGTGAGGAAAAGAAAGTCTGACATGGGAGAGATTACTAGAACACTGAGAAAAAATGAAAAAGCTGAAAACAGAGGGACCAACCAGAAACAATAAGAAACCAGAGACAGCACAAGAATATGACAAAAAGTAGGGCAGGGAGTTCTGCCTTGATCACCTTAGAGACAGGAAAATTGAGTCTTTTAAATCACGTGCTTTGGGGTCCATCTCTCTCCAGACCAAAGCTTGTCCTATTCATCTTTTCACTCTCAGCACCACATCACACAAGCCAATGCCTGGGGAACTCAATAAATATTTGTTGAACTAAACTTGGATTGGCACTTAGACATAGGGAAAAGAAAAAGAGTCTTGGAAATCACTTTCAAGAGACCAGGTCTAGGGAACTAGAGCATCTGGGTCATCCACAGGGCCACCTGGATGAATTGGATAAAATAACTTGGCTCTTTGAAGAGAATGAGACTGTGGTTCACTCATATCTGAGGGTGCAGGGTCTCAGGGTGTTTTGTGAAACCCTGAGGGAGAAGTGACTTGCCAAGAGATGGTACATAAGATAACAAATGAAAGCATCTAGATCTGAAACCATTTCCTTTACTTGTTGCCTATCAAAGAAGCTCCAGATCTACTCTGAGCAACTCTTTGCAGATGTGCTTGGGCTCTCAGCTCCCCAGCTACATCTCTTCAACATTTTCTTATTGAACTGAAGTTGAATCACTACCCTGAAGAATTTCAGAGCCCCTCTGCAAGGAAATACAGGAACTACTTGAGAAAATAAAAACAATTTGTGGTTGTGTTTTACGAGTGTCCTCCAAGGTTCCCTCTGCCTGAAATGCTTTACTTCCTTCTCCTTTCTCTCACTATCTCCAATACACAACTTCATCCATTAATGCCCATTCATACCTCAGGGTGAAGCTCCAATGTCCTTTCTATATTTTGTTCTTATTGTACTACCTCTTTCTCTCATAGCAGTTTTCAAATTTTGTCTTTAAATATTTTTTCTGTGATTATATGAGTAGTGCCTTTACCCTCTAGAAATGAGCTCCATCAAGACACAGATCATGTCTGGTTTGACTCACTTTTTATATCCAGAGTGCCTTATCCTGTGCAAGTTACAAAGGAAGTTCTCACTGTTTAGTATTTTGATTACTTAATGAAGACGCAGTAGTTTGTGAAGACTTTAACTGGCTTACCTGAAATGTAAAAATCTGTGGCACGTCTCAATGACAAGCTATTTACTCCTAAGTATATTAACTTAATAAGTTTTCAAATGGATAAAAATGCAGAAGAAAAATAATAACTTCAATTTCTGGCCAAGAGGGAGGCATAGGTAGATACACTTTGCTTCCTCAAAAAAAAATAAAATAAAGACAACAACCAATTTAAACAAAAAAAACAAAAAAATAACCAGAACTCTTAGAAAATAGAACTGTATAGAAGTCCAACAACCAAGAAATTAAAGAAGAAACATTCATGTAGACTGGTAGGAGGGGTGGAGACAGGCAGCGGGGGCAGAGAGGATGTGCAGCAAGGCAGCAGCTAAAAACTGGGTGGGCAAGGTGGCAACTGGCAATCCCACATTCACATGCAGATAAACTGGGAGGAACAACTGGGGCTGAGACAGACCATGCACCCCAGAGTTCCAGTGCATGAAAACTAAAGCCTCAAAACCTCTGGTGGTAAAACCTATGGGGGAAGAAACTCCAAGCCTCACAGGAGAGTTTATGGGAGACCCACAGGGTCTTAGAACATATACAACACCACCCTCCAGGGAATCAGCACCAGAAGGATCGAATTTGTTTGTGTGTAGCAGAGGAAGTGACTGAAAGTGGTGTGAGAACTGAGCAAGCAGCATTATTCCCTCTTTGACCCCTCCCTCACAGTGCCACAACCGCCCAATATCTAATGGCCCAGTAACAATACAGTGCTGGTGGATACCCAAGGCTCTGCCCCTTACAACATAACAGGTGAGCCAAGACAAAGAAATATGACCCAAATGAAAGAACAGATTAAAACTCCAGGAAAACAACGAAGTGACAAAGAGATAGCCAACTATCAGATGCAGAGTTCAAAACACTGGTAATCTGGTTGGTGCTCATAGAAATGGCTGAGTATGGTTGCAAAATAGAGGGAAGAGTGAAGGCTATGAAAAGTGAAATAAAAGTAAATATACAAGGGAACCAACAGTGATGGGAAAAAAACTGGGAATGAAATCAAACATTTGGAACAAAAGGAAGAAATAAACATTCAATCAGAACAGAATGAATAAACAAGAATTCAAAAAGATGAGGAGAGGTTTAGGATCTTCCAGGATGATTTTAAACATTCCAGCATCCAAATCATAGGGGTGCCAGAAGGAGAAGGGGAGAGCTCTGGCCAAGATGGAGGCATAGGCAGAAACCCTTAACTTCCTCGCACAACCAAAAGGAAGATGACAACCAATCTAAAATCAATAAACAACCAGAAGTGTCAGAAAATCAAACTGCATGGAACTCCAACAACCACAGAATTAAAGAAACAGTTAAATGGAACAACCACACTGGTAAGACAGTGGATGGAGAGAAACCACGGTGAGGAGACAGACCGTGGGGGTGAGGCTGGATGCACTAAGCAGCAGACTGCAGTGGAAGGGCTGACGTAAGGGAATACTGAGACTCAGAGGTGGCTGTGGACTACGGTGCTTGCCCTGGTGGGAAAAACTCCCAGTGTCACTCAAGAGTTCACTGAAAAGGGTGCTAGAGATGAGCAGGTGAGCTTCATTTTTCCCTCTCTGCTGCCTGTGGAAACTTTCCTGTGGAGTATTCCCCCAGGCAGAACCACAGCACAACAAGGAGGGTTTCCCTGCCCCAGAGAATACCTAAGCCCCCCCCTTACTATTTAAGAGGAGCCCTGAACAAAGATAGGGCCAAAATTAAACAACTGAGCAAAGTCTCAGAGAGCTAAGCAATGGGGATATAGCCAACCTATTTGATGGATAATTTAAAGCCCTGGTAATCAAAATGTTCACAGAACTGATTGAGCTTGATCAAAAAATTAAAGAACAAATGAAAGATACCCAAAATGAAATAAAGCAAAATATTCAAGGAACCAACAATGACAGGAAAGAAACCAGGACTCAAATCAATGATTTGGAACAAAAGGAAGAAATAAACATCCAATTAGAACAGAATAAAGAAACAAAAATTCAAAAAAGTAGAGTCTTATGAACCTCTGGGACAACCTAAAATGTTCCAATATCCGAATTATAGGGGTTCCAGAAGAAGAACAGCAGCAAGAAATTGAAAACTTATTAGAATAATGAAGGAAAACTGCCCCTATCTGGTGATGAAACTAGACTTTCAGGAAATCCAGGAAGCTCAGAGAGTCCCAAAGAGGTTGGATGCAAGGAGGCACACACCAAGGCAGAGCATAATTCCATTACCCAAGATTAAAGATAAGGAGAGAATCTTAAAAGCAGCAAGAGAAAAGGAGAAAGTTATCTACAAAGGAGTGCCCAGAAGGCTATCAGCTAATTTCTCAAAAGAAACCTTGCAGGCAAGAAGGGGCTGGAAAGAAGTATTAAAAGTCATAAAAGACAAGGATCAACATCCAAGATTACTCCACCCAGCAAAGCTATTATTTATAATGTAAGGACAGATAAAGTGTTTCCCAGATAAGGTCAAGTTAAAGGAGTTCATCATCACCAAGCCATCATTATAGGAAATGTTAAAGGAACTTACCTAAGAAAAAGAAGATCAAAACTATGCACAGTAAAATGACAGGAAACTCACAACTACCAACAACTGAACCTAAAACCAAAACAACCTAAGCAAACAACTAGAACAGGAACAGAATCACAGAAATGAAGATCACCTGAAGGGTTACCAGTGGGGAGGGGCAGGGTGGAGGAGGGGTAGTTACAAAATAGACAGGGAGAGTTAAGAATAGTATAGGAAATGGAGAAGCCAAAGAATTTATATGTATAACCCAGGGTCATCAACTAAGTGGGAATGCTGGTGGGAGGGGGGATGCAGGATAGAGGTGAATAAAGGGGAGAAAATAATGGGACAACTGTAATCCACAATCAATAAAATACAGTTTAAAAAGGAAAAGAAAAAAATAACTTCCTGTGAGAAAACATAACTAAGAGTTAGGAAACAGAGAAGAGAGTTAACACTGTATAGATCTAAGACTGCTATCCTTTGAAAGGTATGCTTACAAGGTTGGCCTTGGTTGGTGTCTGGAAATCTGGATTTTGGGAGAGTTATATCATTCCTTGGTGAGAGTAGTTTACTGAACTTAAAATGTTTACAAACAATTTGTATATACTGAACACTTGCTTTCCTTCTTGGATTCTGAAATTTTGGTACATGAGAGAGAGAAAGTACCTAAATTATTGACTATTAATAAAAAACCCTGGAGTCCTAGGGTTAAGCAAGCTTACCAGTAGACAACATTTCACTTATTTTGTCATGACGTGTTGCTAAAGGAATTAAGCACATCTTGTGTGATTCTGCTACGAGAAGATTCTGGGAAGCTTATATCTAATTTCTTCTGGACACCATTCCATATACCAGTCCCTTTTGCTGAATTTACTTTGGGTCTATTCACTGTAACAAATCACAGTCATGAGTATGATTATATGCTGAATCCTTTAAGTCCTCCCAGGTAATCACTGAACCTTAAAATGATCTTGAAAACCCCTAACACACCTTCTGAATGGTTTTATAATCTATCCAGCTTTTCTTCTTTCACCTGCCAGTAGCTACAGTAATCCAAGCCATCATCTCTTACCTAGACTATAGCACTGTACCTCTTTCAGGCACACTACCCCAGTCCAGTTCATTCTTTACAAACCCTCCACCCCCCACCACCCATCCACCTGTCCTTGGCCTATTAAGAATCCTGCGCAGCAGGAAGTGAGTGGATTAAAATTGAGGGGATGGGGGCTGGGCTGCACTGAGGTGGGGAAACCAGTGTCCACTATTGCTGCAGCTCCAGCCCATGCAAGTCTGCCTGGCAATGATGATCCATGGCTTCCAGATCAGCCACTGGGACTCTTTCTTTTGGGCCCTGGAAGCTGACAGCTACCAAGACCCATATCATGAAGTCAGCAGTTGTGGAGAAATTAGCTGATGAAGAGCATATGCCACAGGTGGCAAACACAAGGCCCTCGGGCCAAATCCGGCCCTCCACCTTGTTTTATTGACCCAGCACCTTGTTTCTATCTGGTGGCAGCACTGAGCTCCTTGACCCTAGTTAAGGAGTAGTACATTTATACAGTCCTAAAATTACATCTGGCCCTTTGAAGACAACTGCAAGGCTGATGTGGACCCCATTAAAAATGAGCATGACACCCCTGGCATATACCATACTTCCTGAAATGGTGTTTGGAGATATCATTTCAGAAATGTTGTTTTAAGAATCTAGCACTGTTCTGCCTTTAGGATCAAGTTCAATGCTATAGATGTTTTAAGATGTACAAACAACTACCAAGGAAAGCTCAAAGTAGCCTATGCAGAAGAGTAGCGGGAAAGCAGAATGTGGGGTAAAGGTTATTAAACCATATGATTGGACCTATACAACAGATTATAAGGGAACATTATTTGGAGAATCACTCAAGTTAAAGGTTGTACCCACAGCAGATCATATACATACACAGAGAATTTGAAAGCCAGAGAACAGATTAAGTGTTTTAAAAAAGTTCTCCTGTTTGAGGATGAACTTCATGATTGTGGAGTTTCAAGTCTAAGTGTGAAAATTACAGTAATGCCTTCCAGGTTTTTCCTACTGTTAAAGTTTGTTTTGTTGGGGTTTGTTTTTTGTTTTTTTTTTGGTTTTTTTGAGAATTGATGAATTGCTTATCAGAATAAGTGACAAAAGACTTTACCGTGAGGCTGACAAGATCTGTATGTTATGAGAATTCATATCACAAGAGAGCAAAATGGCTAATTTAACACATGTTCTGCTTTCCTTCTTCACCGGAGCACAGTGAAGAAGCACAGTATTTACCAATCAAGGGGGCAGTTTGTGAGAAGCTGATATTTCCAGAAAGAATCGATCAAAACCTCAGACTCATAAGAAAATGTACCTATGCAATAGAATGTGACATACCACATGCTCACCATGGAATTTGATGGAGACAATGGCTATGTGGACAGGGGGATTTTTATTATGAGAATTAGTTTCCTTGTCTATATGCAGATTTTCAGAAGCCTTAAGGGGAAAAATGAAGTAAAAACATTCTTGCAGGCAAAATATAAAATAAAAAATAAAGTCCATGTGGATATCCTGAGATTGCCACAAAAACACTGAAAATTCAGCCTGCTTCCATTTCCAATATGCTATCTTTGTGAAGCAGGGTTTTCTGCAGTGACAGCAACCAAAACAAGATTATGGTGTAGACCAGACATAAGCAACATACTTTCGGTGTCACTGACTCCAATCACCTCCAGATGGGACCGTCTAGTTGTGGGAAAACAAGCTCAAGGCTCCCACTGATTCTGCATTATGGTGAATTGAATAATTATTTCATCATATATTACAAAGTAATAATAATAGAAATAAAATGCACAGGAAATGTAATGTGCTTAAATCATCCTGCAACCAACCCCCACCCTCTGAAAAAAATTTTTTTCTATTTTTTGTGAAAAAAATTTTACAAAACCAGTTTTTGGTACCAAAAATGTTGGGGACCAATGCTCCACACCACAGCCAGAGTGATCTTTCCAAAAGACAAATATGATAATGCTATCTGGTGGCAGGAAGAACCAATGGGTTGCTCTGATGTGTATCTTTATATCTATAATAGTTCATAAATTTAAAGTGTGTAACTAAAAACACTTCTTTAATCTGAGAAAAAATGAAAAAGATATTCAGTGATCTAATCTCCAAAAACATACCAAAAACATACCATACTCACTGATATTATGAAGTAGTTCTACCACATTTAGTGAAAGAATAATTCCTCTGTAATTTTAAATTTTCAAAAGCATAGAAAACAGTGGGAAACTTTAAAATTCATTGAGAACTATTAACATAGCACTGATTCCACACTAGATAAGACTAATTCTCCTAAAGTAAAAATAACGATCAAGGATTATCAGGCTACAGCTTGTGAACAAAAATCCTGCCTGCCAACTGTTTCTATATGTCCCATGGGCTAACAATAGTTATTGCAATTTTAAATGATTAGAAAACACTCAAAAGAAGAATAATATTTGGTGACATGTGAAAATTATATGAAATTCAAATTTCAATGTTCATAAATAAAATTTAATTGAAACACACCCAACACGCATTCATTTATGTATTGACTATGGTTGTCTTCACACAGCAAGCAGAAAAGTTGAGTGCTTATATTGGATACTGTATAGCCCCAAATTCTAAAATATTCACTATCTTGAACTTTTCAGAAAAAAAAACATGTCAACTCCTGATAGACCAATCTCACTTGTAGATAGAAATGTTGAGAAATTTTTAGTTTGAGTTTTAGCAAATTGAACCAAGCAATACATTAAAACAAACAAAAAAATTCAATCAAGTATAGTATATCCCCAGAATATAAGAATTATTTACCTTTAAGAAATCTTCTATTGCAATTTATTGTTTAAGCATATTAAAGGGAAGAAAAAAATTATCTTGACAGATTCAAAAAATATTTTTATCAAATTCAACACCCATGACTAATCAGAAAAAAAATTAGCAAGACAAAAAAGGTCTGTCAGTGTTTCAGTGAATGTCTGATCAGAAAAACTGAAATCACCGTAACCAGTGTGGCTCAGTTGGTTGAGAATCACGCCACAAAGCAAAAGACCACTGGTTTTATTCTCAATAAGGGCACATGCCTGGGTTGTGGGTCTGGTCTCCAGATGGGGCACGTACAAGAGGCAGCGAATTTATGTTTCTCTCTCACATCTATGTTTCTCTCCCTTCTTCCCTTCCCCTCTCTCTAAAAATAAATAAATAATTTTTTTAAAAAAAAGAAAAGTGAAATTGTGTTAAATATTTCAAATTCAGCAAATTGAATATGAGAACTTAAATACAAAAGTGATGGAAGGATACGAAGAATAAACAGAGAAGATACAGTTATTCAGCAACTACTAATTTCAGGAAGTTGTTAACACTCCTAGGGGAATTTGCCTTTGGAACTAATGCTGCCACATTGTAGTATGCCAAGAATCCATATTACTACCAAAATCATAAGAATCTGGTAGCCTAAGGTCACCCACCACTGCAGATGTCATCATTAAAGTCACACTGACAAAACTTCTGCAATGACTGCTGGAACTGCATTGCTAGACCAGGAAGCCTGGAGCTGCACTCATATTCCACTATTGCTGCCACTACTGGACATACTATCAAAAACTAAGAGGGAAAAAATGTCATTTTCCCCTTCCTCCACCTTCCAGTCTTTCACTAAGTCTACCACTAATTTATAAAACTATAAAGCTATCTCCTATGAATAATGATGCAAAATCCTTCAAAAACATACTGCACTGGCAAACCAAATTTAGCAGTATATTAAAATGATTATACAACATGACCAATTGCAAACTTTTTCTGAAATACAAGGATGGTTCAATATGTAAAAATTAATCAGCCCTGGCTGGTGTAGCTCAGTGGATTGAGCGCAGGCCTGCAAACCAGACGATCCAAGTTCGATTCCCAATCAGGGCACATGCCTGGGTTGCAGGCCAGTTCCCAGCAGGGGACCCATGAGAGGCAACCATACATTGATATTCTCTCCCTCTCTCCTTCCCTTCCCTTATAAAGATAAATTTAAAAAAGACTAATCAGTGTAATAGAATACATTAACAGAATTAAGGGGGACAAACCACACAATCATTTCAATTAATGCAT